TCTTTCACCGTCTGTCTAACAAATCTTGCGATGATTGGGCCTGGTGTCCCTTCTTGCTTGGGCTTGAGTCTCACAGCGTGATCAAGATCTTCTGGACTCAGCTTGACGCCCAGACACGCTCCGACGCTAAGAATTGTGCCTGTCACCGTTTCACCCGGCTTCTCCGCCTCTTATTTCTATAGTATTTTTTAACTGAAATTGTTCTGTAGAGTTCAGTCGACTTGCCAGATCTGATATTTTTGTTTTTAGCCTATTATTTTCTATAGTTAAGTTTTCGACATGGGTTTTCTGGTCTTCTAAAAGTGTTTCAATTTTTTGTAACCGGTCCATGTTTTCGAATGATAGGTCCGACTGCTTCTGAAGGGTTTGCTTTATCTCCTTCAGTTCATCTATACCTTGAAGTTTGGTCTTCAATTCCCTGACTTCCTCTGTCAGCGCCCTCAGTAGTTCAAGTATATTACTAGAGTCAGCAGCTAGCGACGTACCCGATGATAACTCTTTATATGCTTGTCTCTTTTAGGCCTTCTAAGTCCGTGAAATCGATTTTCACACATTTCGCGTGAAATATGTTTTGGCATGAGACACAAACTAATTTAGTTTTGTCTTCTCGACCTACTGTTTTCGAACATAATTTGTAATTAACCATAGTGACCAATATATAGGATATAAATTTAAAAAAAGTCACTGTTGCTTTAAAACTACATGAGTGGCCGAAAACAATAATAATAACAAGACACACCTGTTTGTTTGGGTGGAGGCTGGTAGGATTAGGCTGCTACCTGCTAACCCCACTACTCCAACTCGAATGCTTCTTTCACAGACACTTTAACTTTTTTTTTAAACTATATATCACTGCAGTGAAGCACTAATATTAATATGATAATATGGGATGAGGTATCTGTGAAGAACAATTGACAGAGATGTCTAATATGTTCGTTTATAATAATGTTTAGTGGGAGGCACTTAGTTAAGCTGTTGACTGGTCGAGAGATATTCTAAGACTGATATGCAGCCTGTAATTTTTCCCAGAGCCAACCTTTCCAACGTGGTTCCTTAATTGTGTAGGCTGGGATTTCAATGGAGCACCGCACAGAATTGGTTGTTGTTCGTGGAGGGTCTTTGACGGCCATTCGCTATGTAGATGAGATTTTGGAACCTCACTTGTTGCCTATCCTCAACGAAATCGGTGATCGTTCTATTCTAATGCACGATAATGCACGCCCACATGTTGCCTGCATAGTGCAGACGTTCCTTCAACAGAACAATATTGAGGTTTTAGCCTGGCCAGCACATTCTCCAGATTTGAACCCCATTGAGCATTTATGGGATAACCTCGGAAGACAAATAAGAGCGCGTGCAAAACTTCCTGATACACTGCAGGACCTTGAAAGGGCTCTTCGGGAGGAATGGGCTAACCTCCAGCAAAGGGACATTTTCCGACTGGTGGAAAGTATGCCGAGGTGTCTTCAAGAAGTAGTGAAGGCAAAAGGAGAAGACACGCGCTACTAAACGATGATATAATTAATTTCTTTTAGAATAATAATGGTTCGTTTTGGAATCTTGGTAACATTGGAATCTAGAATCATTTCATTGAATTAAGGATTAAGGGTTATTGTCCTCTATATTAACATTACTAATTGAAAACAAACAAAAAGATTACCTATTTATTCATTAAAAACAATAGACCAATCCAAAGCAGAAATATTTTTAGATGAAAACATGAAAAAATCAAGTGGGTGGAACTTTTTGCCTGTCAGTGTATAATGATTCAATGATATACCAGTTTTAGCTTAAAATAGTTCACATGGCATAAAGAGAAGTTGGTCTTAATTCAAGGAGAATCAAAGAAAAAAAAACTGATAGCTATAGAAATATAAAATTCTGGCAGACAAACCCTGATCTAAAAAAACAAGATTGGATAGATTAGGTTAGATGATGTATTCAGCTTATAGTTACCTCCTTGAACAGATGTAGCAATAAGATAGTAATCTCTATTATATATTTTCCCTCTACTTTTATCAAATAGGACTTCCTTGCCTATACTAACTATCTTACAGAGAGTATGTTGGTGGCTACTTTAGGTGAATAATAAACTTCACTGGCTGTTATAATAGATTGGATATTGTCATTAACTTCAACACTTATATCTGCACTGCCTACCGAATCTGAAATAACATGATCTCCGTTTATTGCAGAAGCTTTCACTGATGATGCCGTAGACTTCCATACCTTTTTCATGTTTGTCAAATGTACTGAAGCACATAAATCTAGGTAACAGGAATCATTGATGTTACTATTGTTGGTAACATTGGACATCAGACACGCTAAGAAAGCATTTCTAACTGAGTTCTGTTTATGTCTACAATTTGCAGCAAAATTTCCCACCCAATACATTCAAAACAACAAAGGTTATGTGGTGTTTTTTTTATTTAGAGAGTTCTTATGGCTGCTGCTTAGGTGAGCTGGTTTCCTGCCAGAAAAAAAGCACTGTATTGCCATTTTAAAATTGACTATTGTTTGTCCTAATCTCTTGCAACAACTTGATTTTGATCGTATCACCTGCTATTGCGATTCCCGAGCTCTCTAAACCCATTATCATAGGTTTATATCCTTTTAGTAATCCAGCTAAGAGTAGAGCACCAATCCACTCCTTAGTAATGTTAACTTTTACTTCCCGTAAGAGTTGGGCTGTAGACAATATTTTATTTATAAATTCTTCCATAAAACTGCTGTCCTCTTGCTTGGTTAGGATTAATTGCCGTACTAATCATACCTTTTTTTTTTGTGAGCCCATTATCTTCGAAAAATGACTTTATGGTTTCCCATGCTTGGCATTTGAACATTTTTCAATATGGAGGATGAGGTCATTCTAAACTAACAGCAAAATTTTTGAAAAAGCCTTCTTATTTTTGTCTACAGCTTCTTGTGCATTCAATTTTCCATCCATGCCACCCCATTGATATTTCAATTGATGTAAAGCCTTCATATGAAAATTCCAGGTATAATAATTCTCTCTTCCTTTCAACTTGTCCATGAACAATAAGCTGGACGCCATATTCAAATCAGCCAAAATACTGTAATTATTTGTGTCACCACGAACAGAATACCGACAATTCTTACCAATCTGCACTAATTTGGGCCCATAACCAAATGTTGGGATCCAGTGGTATGATAAGAATCAATACTAGTGTGAGAGACTAGTACTTTAATGAACAGAGACATACTAAGCGCAGCAATAATTTATATTTTCAACACTTCCCCTTAGATTATTGCCTTACAAACTAGTGTAGGTTACTGGATGGGATACACACTATATTCTATAAAAGAAAACAATAACAACCCCATCATCTTAACAAAATTGAAACACAACAAAAAAATATATATTCCCAACAGTGTCATCTAACATAGACATTAATTCTTTGAAAAAAAAAAAATCTTAAGTTAGTGAATGTCTATCTTGAGCGGAGAATAGGATGGAAAGGATTAGAATCTATAGCATATGAAGAAGGGATTGAAATCTAGATAGGAAAGCAGCACACTGAATGTTAGAAGGAAGAGAACTTCAGAGGTTAGTGGAATATGGAAAAAGAAAGATTTGAATGCTGCAGTTCTGTGAGATGATGTATTCAGGTCAGAAAGATAGTATTTGGTGTGCTGAGAGAGAACAAAGGACTTGAACTGCAAAATAAATATATGTGTTTACAATACAATACCAAATCATTTATCATATATTGTCTAATATTTGAATTTCACTCTTCACTGATGGAAAGTTTTATTATTTTACAGGTCTACAGCTTGAAATAATGATCTTATAGTGATCAGTATAGGTCTAATCTACAATATTCTGTAATGAAGTGAAAAATAGTGAAATTATATAAAACAAAATCCATTATGGAACAGATTACACCTCAAGAATAGTACAAATTGAGCATGATAATCTATAGCTAGTTAAAATAGGTACTTCAAATTAAAGTTATCCCGTTTATAGTTAATCTGGGCTGGTCCCAGTTCATTTTTTCAGGTTTATATATCTCAACAAATATTTGAGCAGAATAATTTTTTTAAAGTACATTGACTAGTTTTCAAATCACAAATTAATGTATCTAACTAGACCCTATATTTTTAAAGTATAAGGACCATTACTTTCTATAAAAATATGGGTTATAACTTATCATTGCACTGACAGATTGATACAAAATTCAAAAAAATGAAACATAATATAAGGTTAAAAACAATACCTTTAGGCAAAGAGCGATATGCAATTCTAAGACTGGAAGGATGAGTATGAATACCATCTGAAATCAAGCCATAATATACAGGATTTTCACAAGTAGTTCCCAAAAGACCAACTAAACCAGGGTTTCTGTGATGAAACTGTAAATTTAATTAAAAAATTCATATAATTTATTTAAAGATATACGCTATATACACACACATATACATACATACTCAGACAAACAAACAAGACAGTGGGAATCTGTAATCCATAGGTGGCGCATTCCCAGGAGATAATTTGGGGAATTTTCACTAGATATAGAAATAAATAAAATAAATCTCATGGGCCAAACAGACTAGGGGAAGTAAATCTCATATAATAAACCAATCATAAGGAGGAAGGTGAATGTAATGAATCTTACTACAGTACAGGAAGTTGATCCCCAATACCAGCATCTATTGTGGATGAGCTAGAAGGTTTCCAGAAATCATCATCATACAACTGCTGCACAATTTAAGCAACATGTTTTCAGTTTTTTCAAGCAGAATAAACGAAGTTTGCTGAGAAAATTTCTAGCCAAGACATATCTGGCCAACAATATCTAGCAAAGACACAATGTCCTTGGATAGATAAAAGAGTATGCCTACATAATCCAGAAATATTTTAATTCAATGGAGAGAGAATTGGATGATTATGCAGCAGAGAGAAAAAATGTAGTTAACACTGCCTGAGACCCAGAAGACCAAGAAACAGGATGACCCACCATTAATGTCTCAGGAGGGAAATGTCTGAAAAAAGGAGAGGCAGAAGGCAGTCAATCCTAGAAAACAGAGAAAGGCACCAACAAAAGGAAACCAGAAAAGACAACAGAAGGTTGGATGCAATGGCAATGGACAACCACAGCAACCAGTGGCAGACTCTACAGTCCCTAATAGAAGAGCAGTTGCAAACAGTCGCTGATGAGAAGAAAGGAAGCAGAAAGCAACCACGCCCAAAGCCTCCAAGATCAGATGAGCTTATCATGAAAATCCTCAAAACTGGCACCTTTGCAGATATAGATAGTTGAGAAGATCCATCCCTCTAAGATCTGGATGAAAGCACCACAAAGGTATGTAAAAACAAAGATGGTAATCTAATGATCCAAACTGAAGGATTGGAAGGCAGAAGGGGCTACCTTAAACAGTATGAATCACACTCTAGAATCTGCACTAAGATCAGAAGCAGAAATCAGAGCCTGGAGAAGAAGGCCACAATTGTAATCCCCAGCATTGCATCAAGTACTACAAGCACAACCAGGGAGGATCAGAACTCATATTACATGAGAATTCTACAATTTAATCTCAATCATTATGAGCATACAAACCATCTCCTTTGGCAGACTGTGGAAGACCTAAGGGTTGGTATCAGGATGACTCCTGGGTTTCTGATACCACAGGAAGAGCTGTGCATTTGGTCAGCATGCTATAAAGGAAATGGCATAAGCCCTCTCAAACGGGTTTATCTGGGCTAAAATACAGAACATGTATCAGTATAACTGTTATACTCCATCTTGCTAAACAATTGTGCAAGACTAGATCAGATTTATTCCTGAATGTTTTTACCTCCAGTTTGCAAGAGGGGTCCTTACCTTGTACATGGAAAAGGCAAAGACTAGTCTTGATCTAGAAGAGCAAGGCCATCAGACCATTGGACCTACCAACCAATTTGTATCTTGGAAACCAGGGGCAAGCCTTTGGAAAAATCCTGGGAAATAGACTACAAAAGATCACCAAAGGTTTAAGAGTGCTCGCCAATTTGGATTTCTGGAAATGAGATCTATGATAGGCATAGTCACCTTGGGAACAGAAATGGTTCAGAAGTCTTTTGCAGAGAAGAAATTGAGGAGAGACACAAAGTGGTACTGCACATTCATCACCCTGATTGTGAAGAACGCCTTCAACATAGTAAAATGGAGCAGCATATTGGATGCTCAGCAGGCAATAAGTATCCCTTCATGCTTCAAGAGGATAGTTAAGGACAGGACACTAATATGTACAACAGAGGAATGTCCAAGGAGGTTCCGAGTGACTGGCAGTGACCCCAGGGTTCAATATTGGGACCCCTATAGTAGAACATCATGTATGATGGTGTTCTCAGGCTAAACATCCCAGGGGGTGCCAATAAAGTGTTTTGCTGATAAGATAGAAGAGGTAGTTGAGGTGGAATACAAAAAAAAAGTTATCTTAAGGGCTAACCAAGTATTGCAACTGGTTAGCATCTGTGGGCCTGCAGCTAGCAGATTACAGTCCGTGGTAGAGACACCTTTTTATCAAATTATTAACATCCGACTGAAACTTCCTAAATAGCTTCATCTGATCGTAACCTACAAATATTTTATTTACAAAATTCTCGGAATTGGGACATTTTCAATCTGGAGGTCAGCAAACTTTGTCTATTTAATTAGTTACTAAAAACTCTTAAAATACCTATTTGCTTTCCACTTCAATCGTAAGATAACTTTAGTACGAAGTCGATAAAAAAGATGGTCTTCAAAAATATTGAGTCGTTTTGCCTATATAACCTTGCTATTTTGAAAATTTGGGGGTGTAGGTCATGCGAAACAGCTCAATATTTTTGAAGGCCACCTTTATCATCGACTTTGCGCTCAAGTTATCAAAGATGTAGACCATTTACATATTTGGACTCAATAGTTATATGTTCGAATATTATATCTCTTGAGACCAGCCAATGAATTGCTGCAATTGCTGGTGTTTTGGCCTTGTCTCGTCAGGCCAAGTGTCATGTTTCTAAAACACTGATATGGCCTGATACGCGATACTAACCTATGCTTCAAGGACATGGCCTCTGAATATTTCTGAAGGGAAAGAGCTCCTTATCATCGAAAGAAAGATTTTGTGGAAGATGCACTGTAATAAGGAGGTATATGAACTCTTTAGGGAAGTGAACATCATTCATTTAATGAAGTGTAGTCGACTAAGATAGGCAGGCCACATAGCAAATATGAATGGAAGAAATCCACAAGAAATTACTGTTTGGGAAACTATAAAATCTGGTTGAGAGGAAGAGAAAGACCATGAATAAAATGGGAAGACACTAAAACCAAAAGGCGCTTCCAGTAAAGTAGACCAAATAAATTTTTATGTAGAGATGGTTGACCGTTGATATAATATGAGGAGTTAATTGGGGGGTGCGGTCTAATAAATAATAAATTAAAATATAGTAATTATTTAATTTTTGCCGACGTTTCGACCCACTTTGCAGGTCGTCTTCAGAGCATAGGATGTAGCACTGCGTGTTTCAACTGCTTCCCGCAGTGCTACATCCTATGCCCTGAAGACGACCTGCAAAGTGTTTCGAAACGTCAGCAAAAATTAAATAATTACTATATTTTAATTTGTTATTTATTTGACCGCAACCCCCAATTAACTCCTTCTCAAATAAATTTTTGTTTTGAAAAAGCAAGTTAGATCTGTTCTTAGTGTCATTTGAAACTCTTATATACAAATTTTTATAAAAATTACAAAATTTAATATTTGATTTTCTTGGAGGACTTTTTTTATTCAAATTCAACGTTAGTACAACGATTGGAAAGCTTAATTACTACGCTTCCAGCCCACATCAATAACTTTTAGAATTCATTCGTTTTTAAAATAGAAATTAGGATAAACTTCCCAATCATTTTTATTTTTTATCTTTGATTCTAATTGATACAGAAGTCAATTTGTACCATTTCTTATTGCATATAGAGCTCTATATCCATATTAATTTTCATACGGATCGGTGAAGCCGTTCTAAAGTTATCACAAATGTGATTGTTGCTGAAACTTCGAAGGGTCCAACCTACGCAAAAATTTTGTACAGAAAATTTTAATTTTTCAATTGCTATAAAAATTTGTATTTAAGCTGGCTCATTACTACATAGGGAAGTGTCCTAAGGATAGCAGATGTGGGGATAGTTGGTGGAAATTCCTTGGGAAGTTCCTCCCTCTAAGTCTGATGGACTCGTTGGCCAACAATGAGAGGGGTGTGACCTAGGATTGAACGCCCTACTCACATATCTTTAGTTTTAGGATTTTTTTTCCTGGTAAATAACTTTTTTTTTTTTTTATCTGTTTATTGAGAAATAATACATTTTGCCACACTTAAGGGCACTGAGTACTAAGGCTGAGTGAGGCACATTCATACCATATATACAATACCATAAAAAAAAAATAAATATATATATATAACATCTATATAACAAAGGCAAAAACTATAATAAACCAAGGAAATGTAACTTAAGAGTTAAAATTAAATGAAATACAGAAATTCGTAGCAAAATTAAATAAATTATAAGTAATAGAAATAAATAGAAAAACATTCATACTTAAACACAATATTTACAATCAGGCAAGAGATCTCTGAGTCCAGCACTTTCCCCATGTGTGAAGGACAAAGCGAGACTCTAAGAGATCCCAGCGCTTCTCTCTCAACCGCGTCGCCAGTTCAAGTCCGTAGGTCCAGATGGGTTTGAGTATGGTCTTATATATTAATAGTTTGTTTTCTATTGATAGATTGGATTTTCTGTTAAGTAGTCTGTATAGCTGGCCAAATCATCTGTTAAGTCTGGTATGTGGGTTCCAAATTAGTCTTGGTAAAAAACTAAAGCAATTATAACTTTTCAGGATTTTCTCCAAATTCAATGGTAGTACAACCATTGGAAAGCTGACTTAATAGTCTTCTTTTTTTCTATCAAGCTAGAAATTAAGAAAAACTTCTAACTCGTTTTTATTTTATATCTTTAGTTTTAATTTGTTTACAACGGTCGGGCTTATACTATTTCGTGTAGCATACAGAGGCGAAAATCCCTAGTAATTTTCATTTAGATCGATGAAGCCATTCTAAAGTTATCACAAGTTTTGTGGTTGTTAACAAAATTTTGAAGCAAAAATTTCAAGCAGAAAATTTTAATTTTCTGGTTGCTATGAAAATTTGTATTTAAGAGTTTTTTGAGGTACAAAAAAATTAATTTATTTTGTCTTATCCATGTTTATTTCGAGCCATAGTTCTTTATTGGCTTTCATTAACATTGTCGTATTTAGCTTTACAGTTTCTGCGTCTTCGCTTAACAGGACCAAATCATCAGCATAGCCAAGCACGGGTGTTATCCCACCCATATTCAACTAGGGATAGGCAATTCCAACTACAGGTTAGTAAAAAAAAACAGTATTTTGTTTTAACTTTTAAAATGTTTAAACAATATTGATATCTCTCATGACTTTTATAGGTAGCTAAAAAAAGTAAAATAAAATAATGAATACTTAATAGTTGACCATTGTGTTATAGAGGAAGGAGATGGTGTGGGGTGTATTATATATTATACTACAACAATTTTTACCATCTATTTACTTCAGTTTAGGATCTTGTTACTTAGCTTACTCTGATTATATAGCTTATTGTTCTTATTATGTCAATGTACTTACTGTTTATAATTTCAATAAGTTTATTCACCTTGTTTATAAATTTTATCTAAATATTATGTAACTTCCACAATTCACTATATCATTTTGTATCTAGTCCATTCTAGCCCTGAAGACCTGCAAAGTCGGGTCGAAACATTGGCTTATAATAAAATAGTTTTGCCACTATTTTAATCTATTTATGACCGCCACCCCGGACCATCTCCTTCCTCTAAAATAAAATAAAATAAAATGCGAAATCTTATGTTTTCTAAATCCAAATAAACCAATGATATAAAATTTTGTATGAAAAATTTCATTTGCGCAACAGAACCACATATTTATCATTGGTCTTAATAATAATAAAATTTGATTAAAATATTTATTTAACCTTATTTATAAATAGTTTATCTGAATCTTCGCATTATAATTAATACTTTTTAAAATTTGCAAATTTCTATCTTAAAATTATGGATAGAATCTCATTATATTTTATTTTATTTCATTACATTTAATCACAGACTAAATTAAATTTAGTGGTTATGGTTCACTTTTGAAACAAACAACCTAATAGACTATTCCGTTAATCCATTTCGGCGGCAATCAGCACCCTAACCTTAATTGCTACAAATCCCTTCTGTATCTATTTGACTTTCCTGTTGAACATTTACCCAACGAAACCTAAAGACGTTTATATTCTTAGATTATGTTCCAGCAGAAGTTTCCTAGGGTCTCGTTCCATTAAGAACCATTCCAGTGATGGAATTCGTTCCACGAACCGTTCCGCCCGGAGTGGTCCATCCCTAGATTTAATCCATTTTTGGTAAGCATTACCTTCCTAATGGCATCTTTTAATGACCAATTAAAACGGACAGGCGAAAGAGAATCACATTGTTTTCAACCAGAACGAACCTCAAACTTTTCAGATAAATAATTACCGATTCCAACTTTATTGAGCGTTTCTGTCAAGCATATTCTAACTAGATTTACTAATTTTTTTGGAATCCCCTGCTTGATTAAAATATTATACAGTTTCTGGCGGTCAATAGATAGAATTGTAAGCCCTTCTGAA